CGTTTGTCGTTTGTCATCAATCAGCAATCAGCAGCGGCTGACGTGCGTACGTCGTGTCGTGCGGTGTGTTGCGTGTGCGGTCACGCGTTTTTTCGTTTTCAGGAGTCAAGTGCATACAGTGCGATGGTCGGCGGGTGGTGAGCGGGTCCAACGACCACACGATTCGGGTGTTCGATCTCGAGGAGGGGCGCTGCCTGTACGCCTTCCTCTTCTCCGATTGGGTCAACTGCCTGGCCTTTGACGAGTCCACCCTCGCCGGCGGCTCCTCCGACTCCACCCTCTCCCTCTTCTCCTACTACCTCCACCCGAGGTATTGACCAATTCTTTATTTATTTTTGAATATATAAGTAATTATTATATTCTATTTTTTTGGGTTGGAATGTATTCAATGTATACAACGCCTCCCCGCCTTCATCTAAGGCCGCTGCAGGTACTTCTCCACAGCCTTGAGCGTGAACGGCTGCAGACACGCGGTGTGAGAATGTGTCGTGTGCGTGGTGGTGGTGGTGTGGTGTGTGTGTGTGTGTTTTGTTGTTGTTGTTGTTGTTGTTGCTGTGAAGGCGACGGTACCTGGTAGTAGTAGTCGGCGTGGCGTTCGTCTTCGGGCAGGGATGCCTCAGTGTCCGTGGCTCCAGTCATCAGCTTGTAGTCCAGCACTTGGTCCTGCACCAGCTTGTTCATCGCAGCTGCACGCGATGGAGAGGTCGATCGAGTAAGCAAAGGAGGTGAAGAACGAGAGGGGGGGGGAGAGAGAGGAGCGCACTGATGGGCTCCTTGTAGAAGTCGGCCAGGAAATCGCGTTTCCTGGCGTGGTCCTTGATCTGATCGATCAGCTTGCCGATCTGATCGTCCAGCTGCAACATCTGGAGAGGGGCAAAACAAAACACCACACACACACACACACAGCGAACATAGCATTCAACGCACAGGTCAGCCAAAGACCGCGTGTGCGGCGCGGGCGGTGGTGGCTTCGCCTCACGCACCTCGCGAGACGAGGCAGGGTTGTTCAGGATGGGGTGCTTCTGCGGGAGCGTCTCGTCGACCTCCACCTCGATGTCGTAACACTCACGGTAGTCCTGCCAGTCGCCCTCCCGCCTTTTTATATATTAATAATATATTTATTATTATTAGTATTATTATTATTATTACACTAATAACGCCAGTATAGATGTAAAGAATAAATAAATAAATAAATAAATAAATAAATAAATAAATAAATAAATAAATAAGGGAGGTGGTACTTGATGGTGTATTCGATTTCGATGGGGTCGGCGGGCGAGAGGTGTTCGCTGACGAGCCGCGTGAGGTCGGACGCAGCGAAGCGGGTGCAGCCGAAGGCCTCCTGCAGCACCTCGTCGCACACCACGTACCGCCGATCCTCCGGATCATGCAAACGATTCGCCTGCGACACACGACACGACACGACACGCGCACGACGACTGGTGAACACGTACACTCGAAGAACGTGCGGGGCGAGACGGGCGGGTACCCGAACGTATTGCCACACGCCCAGCACGATTTTGGGTCTCGTGTCGGTGTGCATGCCCAGCGCGCCGCCCAACGCCGGCGACAGCTTGAATCGGTTCGGGGCGTAGTCCAGGTGGAGGATGATCTTGGCGGTGGTCTCCGCGTCGCCCGCTCGCTTGATTTCAAACCCGTCCGTGTCGCCGTGCGACTGCGCCTTGTCCCACTGCCAAGTGTAATGCAACACGACACACAGTTGGTGACACACACACACACACACACACCACACACACAACGAGCACTGCGGCGGCGGGGAAGGGGGTGAGGAGTGTCAACCTCGATGGTGTCGTTCGGGGTGTAGACGTCCTTGTCGAGCTGAACGAGGACCTTGCGGAAGAAGCGCGAGAACTTGGTCTTGGTCGGGCGCGACGTCGTGCGGCGCTGCAGATCCACCTCCTGCTACCGCACACCGCACACCGCACACGACACACGTGGGTGAATAACGACACGACACACACGCGGCACACATGGCGCAGGACACACACGGCACACACACACACAACACGCACCTGATCGAAGAGGTAGCCCTCGATCCTGAGCGTCCATGAGGGCGGCTCGTGAACGCCGGCCTGGCGGATGTGTGCAAAGGTCAGGGTTAGTAGCCAGGCGTGCAATAACGACGATCGTCGATTGCAACACACACACACCACACCACACCACACACGCACACACACACACACACACACACAATACAAGCGAACACGCGCTACAGGTTAGTACCTCGTCGACGTGATAGTAGCCCTGCTGATTGTCGTAGGTGTTGTAGATGAACATGCGCAGGATCTTCGTCGTCTGTCGTCGTCGTCGATGATGATGATGAACGCGCGCAGGTTAGCGTTGCGCGTTACGTGCGGTGCCGACGCGTTGTGTGTGTGCGCCGTGTGTGCTGTAGTCGTACCCGCGAGGTCTTGCCCTGTTTCGACTCCTGGATGTCGAGCTGCTTGCGCAGAAGGGTGGCGTCGAGCCGTCGCTCGAACTCGACCAACCGATCGTAGGCTTCGGCCTCGGGCACGTAGCCCACGATCTTTTCAAAATTGAATTGATTTACATTAATCCACCAAAGAAATAGGAATAAAGAATTAGTTGTGGGGGCTGCACCTTCTCTGGCAGGCGGCGGGTCACGTTTTCGTCGTATATCTTTGGCCTCCTGTAATAACAAACAACAACATGAACATTGGCAATTAAAGGAAATTGATTAATTATTGGGTTTGTACTTCGATTTCTTGCTGGGCGAGAGCGCCAGATTGTTTCCCGAGGGCCGGGCGCGGTTTCGCTTGCTCGCGCCACTGCTGGCCGACGTCGACCCACCAGTCCACGAGGTGGCCATCTGTTCGTGCAGTCAAGTAAAATGAAAACTAGCCGTTAAAAGTTGTTTTTCCTTCTTCTTTTCTTTTTCTTTTTTTTTCTACAACATCAACTGGTCAGGTAGTCTACAAGGATGAAGGTCTTGTCGTCCTTCTGGGCCAGAGTGCAGCACGTGTTACCGGTCTGGACGAGATTGACGGTCACTCGTGGTGCGCCCTCCCACTTGGGCAGGTCGTTGTCGCCCTGCGCCGTCCTCCGCCAGAAGTCCGCCCAGCTGCCGTCGCTGTTGGACTCGACGTAGAAGCTCTGGTTGGGCGACGAGAAGCGGCCAGCGCCCGAGCCTGACACCGCCGTGCCCACGATGGCGGTGATGATCGCCTGGGTTTGGGGGGGGGTTGAACCCGAATCAGCCGCGCAGTTGTAGCAAAAGATGATAACAGTTGATGGTGCCAAACGCGTACTTCACGCATGGAGGGTGCGGTGAACTTGTAGACGACGACCTGCGTGTCGCCGTACCACTTCCAGCCCTTCTTCTCGGCTCGCATGGTGTCCATGATCCACATGTGGCTAGAGAACGCTGCTATCCCGGCCAACACCGAGGCACTGGCGTTGAGTTTGTCATAGTCCACCTCAAACGAGTACCATTCCTCGCTTCTTCGCCTGGTGACCTTGCCCACGTTCTTCAGCTCCGCCCAAACACCCTCCACAGTTGACATTTTGTTCTTCCTATTGTCGTGTTTATCCGTTCAGTTCAAAGGACTAAAGCATTGGACCAATCGTACAATTTTTAGGTGAATTTGGACTGACCCTGGTGAGTTACCTTTTTGCGGCTGAGTACCGCTTGAGTGGACAGGCACCTCTGCTGATCTTTCTACCACGCCCTCTTAACCACCACCAACGCGCTTAACATGGTTCAAATCTTTCTCATTCAACTTTCATGTTACCTCTGCTCAAGAGGTGTAGTGGTGTTGTGGTGTGGTGGGCGGGAGAGCAGAAGTTAAATGCTATTTTGTTTTATTACCAATGAGGCGATCTCTCATAGCTTATGAAAGGACATGTGATCAATCATACAATACAGAAGAGGTGGGCGGAGGTTGTCTCGCTAGACGGGGCTGGTGGTGGCCACCAGGCCATCGGTGTCATTGCCCACTTGCTTGTCAAGGAAGGCCAGCACGTCCTCCATCTTGGGCCGCTTGTTGGCCGATGCGTGCCAGCACTTCTTGACGCCCCCTGTGGTGGTGGTGGTGGTGGTGGTGGTGGTGGTGGTGGTGGTGGTGTGGTGGTGGTGGTGGTGGTGGTGGTGGTGGTGGTGGTGGTGGTGGTGGTGGTGGTGGTGGTGGTGGTGGTGGTGGTGGTGGTGGTGGTGGTGGTGGTGGTGGTGGTGGTGGTGGTGGTGGTGGTGGTGGTGGTGGTGGTGGTGGTGGTGGTGGTGGTGGTGGTGGTGGTGGTGGTGGTGGTGGTGGTGGTGGTGGTGGTGGTGGTGTGTGGTGTGGTGTGGTGTGGTGGTGGTGGTGGTGGTGGTGGTGGTGGTGGTGGTGGTGGTGGTGGTGGTGGTGGTGGTAATGAGAATAACAGTCACCATCATGAAACAGAGGGCTGTGACGTCAGTACCAATGAAGAGGACGATGTTGGGGTGGTGGAGCTCCAACAGGAAGGCCATCTCAGCGCGGAACTTGAGCATGCGCTGCTCATTGAGCTTCTGCTTGATGAACTGCTTGACTGCCACCTCAACACCCTTCCACTTACCACAGTAGACCACACTGTACAAGCCCTGCCGGGCAGAGCGCCTTTTCAGCGCACTCATAGATCAGAATCATGTGGTCAGCGCCATAGAGGTTGGTCTGAAAGCCAGATACCAGACTATAAGGAGGTTCTTGTCATCATTGATGGAGATGGACATGTCATTGAATTGAGGGAGCATGGCTGCTGATCCTCAGTGACAGATCCCTCAGTGTGCCCAAGATGCACAGGAGGGCAATGAGCTTAGCCCTGGTCCTGGTGGGTGGAGTGTTGGTGCCCCATCAGCAGATTTGAGGAAGTTGGCAATGGTCACCACAGTGTCCTCCTGTTCTAGTGGAAAGTTGACCCTCCTCCCACTCACAGAAGTCATGGAAGTGGATCAGGGAGGAGTGGTATCTCCACCAGGTTGCAGGGGTGAGGGCCAGGTCTAGCATCCTGCAGGTGCATGCAGACCACCCCTCAGTGTGCAAGCACCAGAGATCCTGCAGGCAATCCAACACCACAGTGAATTGTGCCACAGCTCTGCTGCCAAATCACTTGAATAAGGACTGGCATTTCAGGTTGGAGACAGGGGCTTCAATGCAGAGGTCCTTGAGGTCAGAGAACCACTGCTTGCCCTCCCATCTTGGGACAATGATCATGGCTGTTGCTCACTGGTGTTGGACAAGCACAACCACCTTAAGGATCAGCACAATGGGTGGAACCACCCAGTTGTCATTGCACCAACACTGGGTGAGGGAGTCCACCACGTCTGCTCCCAGTTAAAGAAGCAGCTGTTGAAGCAGGGATGTGAGCATTCTTGGATGATGTCATCCAATCCACTGAGTGGGGCAGTCAACAAGG